GTAAGCAGAGGGATGGAGATGGCTCCAGCCCCGGGCTCACCTCCTTTCCTAAGAGCCACTGACTTAAACTACCCATCATGTCATCCAGGAAGGGATCCAGCTGTCATTTCCTTGGTTCTAGGTGTTTCCTGAATAGGCTGCAGGCTGGCTTGGAGCCCAGCCTGGTTGTCTCTGCTGTGAAGAAAGTGAGGTTGATCCTGGAGCCAGGGTGAGAGAGAGGAGCCCGGTGCCCAGGGCAGGGCTGAAGTTGGTGTCTCTGGGGCAGGAGGAGCCCAGCTGGAGCCTGGAGCCTGGTGTCTCAGGGTGGCTGAGTCAGGCTCTGAGGCAGGAATGTGGAGGGAGACAGGACAGTGCAAGGGGCTCAGAGCCTGTGTTGGAGGGCAGTGGCTGGTCCTGAGATGTGTGGACACTGAGATCGCTAACTCAACAGCACTGAGGCCTTGGAGTCAGGCAGCCCTGGTTTCAAATCCTGCCTCTGCCCCTCCTCAAAGTGTCAAAGACGCCCTTACAGATAGCCTTGTTCAACTCTCTGTAACCAAGGGGGAGACACCTTCAGGATGTTTCTCTCTGACAGCTTTCAAGCCACAGGCGCTCCCTTCAGCCTCACTTCCTGGCCAGCTCTGAAAGTCTGCAGGCTCCCTCCCTTCACCCCTACAGGAAGTTCAAACCATAAGAAACAAGACCTGACCCACTCCTAGCCAAAAATAAAAGCCAAAGCTAATGACCCCACTTCCCTCCGGATGAAACCTGAGCCTTCTCCTTGGGGAATCCTATTGTTGTCTTCTGTGTGTGTAATAAACTTTATTTCATGTACATTAGTACATGAAATATAGTTTATGATATATACGTTATACATTTAATATACATTCCTGCTTGAGGGTCTGTTCTGCATCCAGCAGGGATCACTAGCCACCACAAACCACCACCACCAACAGCAAAAATCCTACAGCCAGCTGCCTCTGCTCTGCCCAGTCTCGTTGTACTGTCGAGGGACCAGTCTGCTGCCTCTACTGCACTTAAAACTCTGTGACACCAAAGACTAGCCCTGCCAGGGCCACAGCCATGTGCCCAGGTGTTGGAGACTCTGTCTCCTCCAGACACCAGAGGACACTTACGTTCTCATGGGAAATAAGAGATGTAGAAACCCCATTGGTTGAATTGCCTCTGCTCAGTTTCCTCTGTGTAGGGAAGATCCTGATAGGAGGCCCCTCTGTGGATTACAGACACAGTCTGGACTGGACTCAGACACCAAGCACCCAGCCAGTGGCCTCCATCAGTCCTGGGACCAGCCCTCTGGAAAGGGCGAGCAGGCCCTGGTGTCAGGCACCCCTATCAAACCCCAATAAAGACGTTCCCACAGCTCCTGGGCGGTGCTGGGAGATCTGTGCTTCTGGAATGTGAAAGACAGAAGAAAATTGTGTTTCCTCCAGTCACAGCCTTTCTCATTGGCTGACCCTTTGCCCTGGGGGCTAAATAGGCTGAAACTGCCTCCTGGCAGCACTGGGGGGTTATTTCCAGCGTCCTGAGGGAGCCCCTCCAGGGGACAGGCAGGGACATGGAGGAATTTCGGCTGTGCAGGGAGGAGGTCAACTATGCAGGACGGGGACTGCCCGGTGCCTCAGGCTCTGTCTCCTGCTTGCTGATGGGGTGAGGGCAGGGTGCTTTTGGCTCCTCCTGTGTTCTTTGGTTTCAGGCCCGATTCCTGTTTCCTGCAATGGGGCTTTCCGTGGCCACCACCTGGACGCTCACACCAGATCCTTTCCCTGCTTAACATGCTCGGCATGAGCGCTCTCAGCAAACAGAAACCACACAACCCAATAGAAGTAGGAGGGGCTTTAGAACAGAGAATGAGAAGCTGATAATTTCCCTGGCAGGGCCAGACATGCTCCACGCAGGGACTCCAGACGCGCCCCATACAACACTGTCGGACTGGAAAACTTTAATATTTGTGATTAAAAAAACTGGAATCTACTCAGCAAAAACACAGAGCAGTTTCCACATACATGAGTCATCCCACCTTCCTGTGTGGACGGGACAACCACAATTAGATCCCATATGAGAGGAGGATGCACCACCTGGGGCGCTGGGGTGACTGGGTGTCCCGTCCTTGGGCACATGTCTAGGAAGGGGCCACATGCACAAGTTCAGATGACCTCCACCATCTCTGTAACCTGAGCTCAGCCCCAAGTCTGTGGAAGGAGAGACTCCAGCTCCCTCCTCCCAGAGGAGCATAAGGAGATACAGTCAGGAGGCAACAGTGATGCAGGAAAACACAGGTAGATTGTGGCCTTGGAGATTTCACCCCAAATCCTCTCGAGCCTGTAGGTAAGCTTGGGACTCACCATCCTAAGTGCCATGACTGGGCTTCCCGCACATTCCCTCACAATCCAAGGGCATATTATGTTTTGTGAAAGAGTATATACTAATGCAGATTGTTGGTAGGTCTCCAATAATATTAAGGGAGAGAAAATTTATACCTATAAAAATTGCATCAGCCCAGAAATGACTGGCAGGAGTAGTGTGGTCCTTGTCCCCTCGGAAGAGGGGGAACCAGCAGGGGGTGGGGAGTCTGGGGAGGGGAGGGCAGCGAGTTATGTAGACACACCAGATACAGAGCAAGAGAAATGGAGACAAGAGCTGATGGTCAGAAGACTCACCACCAGTGGGATCTACAGGGACTTGACAGCCTGGGAATCAGTAACACAGGACTAATGCCACTAGAGGGAAGTCGTGCCAACTGGACGAGAAAGAGGAGCCAAAGAACAGTCAAGCATCTAGGACTCAGCCTAACAGCTGGATTGCAGGGTTACTCCCTGGGGGAGAGAGGAGGTCATCACAGAGAGCTTCCTGTCCTTGGAGTGAAGATCAGGAGACTACAGAGCATGTTGAAGACTGAAGTTCAGGCGAGAGGACAGACGTGGACAAGTTAATCATGACTGTTTACATCACCAATGGGTTACATGTCAGTACTTTCTTGGCCATAACAGAAAAATAGAAAACAGAGTATTTTATTTTATCCTGATAGCATGAAGATAGCACTGAAGGACAATGTCAAGTAACTTATTTATGAAACAAATATATTCTTCCAGAAGAACTAAATAAACGAGAAGACCTTCCTTGGTGATGGATTAGAAAACGTATTATTCTTTAGATGGCAATACTCTCCCAAATTGATCTAAAGATTCACATAATATTTATATAAACCCAAACACTATTTTTGCAGAAATTGACAACCAGAACCTAAAATTCATGATAGGCTAGGGGCTCGGAATATTCAACACAATCTTGACAAAGAAGGAAATACTTGGAGGACTCACACCTCCTGGTTTCCAAACTTAAGGCTAAGCTACAATAATCAGGACAGTGTGGCACTGGCAGAAGGATGTACATATATTTCCATGGAATATAATTGAGACTCCAAGAATAAACTCTTACTCTTATGGTTAATTGAGTCAAGGGTGCCAAGACAATTCAATAGAGGAAAGAACAGTGTTTTCTACAAGTGGATATCCACATGCAAACAATGAAGTGGACTTGTACCTCACATCATGTTAAAAATTAACTCAAAATGGATCAAAGAAGTAAATGTAAGAGCTAAAACTATAAAACTCATCGAAGAAACATAGGATTCAGTGTTCATGAACTGGAGATAGGCAATGGTTCCTTAGAAGACACCAAAACCATAGAGCAATAGATAAATTGGACGTCATTAAAATTGAAAACTTTGTACTTCAGAGAACACCATCAAGAGAGTGAAAAGTCATCAAAGTGAAAGAAAATATTTGCAAATCATATACCTGATGAGGGAATTGTGTCCAGCATATAATAAAAACTCTTGTTGGTCAAGTATAAAAAGCCAAAAATACAATTAAAAAATGGACAAAGGATTTAAAGACATTTCCCCAAACGTGAAAAAAACACAGAGCCAATAAACCCATGACAAGATAATCAACATGTTTAAATGTTAGGGAAATGCAAATCAAATCCACAATGAAATACCTCTCCACACTCATTTGTACAAGAACATTCAGCATAATTATTCATAATAGCCCCCAAATGGAACCAACCCAATGTCTATCAACTGATGAATGGGTGTTCTGTGGGTCTCAGACTATTGATAGTGATGCCGTGGGGCAGGAGTGCCTGAGACACTCACCTGGGTCCGTATTACTTGTGGTGAGTCCACAGACATTTCCCCAACCAGAGCCAATGCTGTGGCTGGACCGGCCCTTGTGGTTCTTATTATGATCACAGGACACACCTCAGCAACACCATCAGAGAATTTTGAAGAACAGGAATTATTACTCATCTGAGTATTAGTCACTCTGAGTATTAAAGGGCAGATTCAGGCTGAGTGTTAAAGAGGAGAAAGAACAAGACAGGAGGATTGAGTCTGAGTGTCTCCTGTCCCCAAATACCCACTCCACGTCCCAGATCTAAGTCCACACCAGGCCCCTCTCCCCAGGCTCCTCCAGGAAGCAGAATCCAGCAGTCATCTGGTCATCGGGTCCTCTGTCAGCCGACATTGAAGAGAGAGACAGAGAGAGAGAGTGAGCAAGAGAGAGGTGGGCAGAGAAGATGGAGGGACACACAGAACATGGCAGAGGAGTGGAAAAGAGAGACACAGAAGGGCAGCAAAGAGGCTGAAAGAAATAAACACAAAGGGAGAGAGAAACCAGGAGAGAAAAGGGGAGAGGTAGATGGAGTGGAGCAGGTGGCAGGGTCAGGGGGCGGCATTAGGGACAGAACAGGCATCCAGACCCTCCCGCTCCCCTGCAGCCCCCAATCCCATGGAGGGGACAGGACCTCACCTGCGACAAACCCTGTCCTCCGGGGCGGGGTCAAGGAACAACTCGGCCTTTCAGCTTCACCACGAAGGAATCCTGGGGTCTGAGTGACCGGGGGCAGCACCGCTCAAAGCAGACCCTGAAGGTGCAGTTGCCACACTTCCGGGTCCTGCCCAAGGGCACCACAGCGTCGTCATAGCAACAGTGCTGCAGGGGGTGGTAGAACTTGTCCCCACAGGTCATGTGTGGCTGGCACAGCATCAGGTGAGCACCCATGGGGGACACTGGAAGAGACGGAGCTGGTGTGACCAGGCAGCAGGGCAGGGGCTCCCAGCCTGAGGCCCTCTGGGAGACACACCCCACCTCTGAGTGTCCCTCCCGGACTCACCTGGGGCTCCGTGTGAGCAGAGGATGCAGAGATCGGCCGAGAGAGCTGTGGGAGAGCAGAGGGTGAGGTGGGGATGAGCAGGCAGCCAGGGGTCCACCTCGGAGAGCCCAGCTTGGGGCAGGGGAAGGTCTGAGGGGGTGTCTGTCCTGTATGAGGCACAGGGAAAGGCTAGTAGCAGTCCAGGGTGGAATCTAATCACCTGAGTTTGGGTGTCTTGGGATTACGGGCCTGTGGAAGGTGAGGGGAATTGGGCTTGGATCCTCCTTACCCAGGGTGCAGCATCGGGGAGCTATGGCTCTGGGGCAGCTGCAGTGGAGTGGAGAGGGGATCAGCCAATCTCAGCAGGTGCTTTTACTCCTACTGTAAAGCTGGTGATGTCATCGGATCCCCTGCCTGGGCTGCAGAGACACACTGGGCCCTGGGGCAGGAGCAGGTGCCCCGACATCAACCTCTCCCCCAAATGCCTCCCTCTCATGCCCAGCACGATAGCCTCATTCCCACTCTTCTGGAATTCTAACCCCTCACATCCTCCCGGGGGGCCTGTCAGCTCCCTGACCTCACACCCCCAGCCCAGGGCTCACTAAATGGCAGCTCACAGCATCCAGGTGAGAGACTAGTTTTTACACATTTGAAAATTCCAGGTTGAACGAGATTGGGGAACAGGGGAATGTGTGGGGAGGACACTGAGGTGGCTCCTGAATGAACAGGAAAAAGGCCCTGGAGGACCCCTGGGACCCACAGCCCCCCAGGGTGCTCTCCCCACCTCTTTCTCTGTCTCTCCACTAATGGTCATTTCCTCAGGAGCACCTGTCCACTTAGCACCTCGTGTGCCCCAGGCTTCGTGTCAGACACGGGGGAGGGGTGGGGAGCAGGACATTCAGAAGTCAATTTTCACTGAGTTCATGAGAGAGAGAGAGAGAATGGTAAGATAATCCATTAGAGTTTGGTTGCTGTGGTCAAGGTCGTTGTCAATATTACACATCTGTGAAGTTCTGTAGGAGAAATTCCAGCACCATCAGTAGATTCTCGAAGTCTTTACTCCTTAACATGGCTGTTCAGAGGGAGAAGGATTGAATGTCCCCTGAGAAGAGCAGTCTTGGAGTCAGGATGTGAAGATAGAAGGTGAAGGATCCCCTTCCCTGAGGGACACTGTGGGGTCAGTTCTGTGGGACTAGGGTCACCTTGTACAGTGAGGATGGGGAGGCCCCTCCCCCAGCTCCTGCAGGACTCCATCCCTCGGGGGCACAGAGCCCACCCCTGCATGGACAAGTTTCTCCCCAGAGCCTGGGAAGGGTGACCTGTTCCTCATGTGGGCAGCTGTGTCCCTCTACCTGCCTCCCTGTGTTTGGACAGATCCTGCCTTCTGCGTCCCTGCTCCCCTGCGGGAGCCTCCACACTCGCTCCCCAGACTCCCCTCCACCTGGAGCCCAGGCCCAGACTCAGCTCCTCCATGACATGCACCCGCTCCAGACAGAAACCAGGGCGAGGACCCAGTGAAAGAGGAACGGAGCGTGTCCTGCACTGTGAGGGGGGAACCGCATCAGTGTCCAGACCCAGCAGAAGTGGGGGATTCAGGGAAACATCCAGGTCAGCTCTGGGGGTGTCCTCGGTGCAAGCTCTGGTCTCTCCTGGTTGGGGACAGAGATGTTGTCACAGCCCAGCTCTGGTGGTGGTGTGGGGTTGGCATTGGTGCCCACATGTCGGGTTTCCCAGAAAGAACCTGGGGAGGGACTTTGCCTCTCTGAGCCTCAGTTTCCTTCCCCGGAAAATGGAGACAACCTGGCCCAGCTGACCCATTGTCTTTTGGTCTAACAGAGATGACACAAGCAAGGGCCTGACAATAAATAGTAGCTGAGGATGAGCAGTGTGCCCAGCCCTGTGCCAGGTGACCCTGAGGGCACAGTGATGACTCAGTAGCAGGTCCTTTCCCATCGTTGGGGATCACAGACTCTCCTCAGTCCATGATGGCTCAGAAAGGTCAGGCTTGGGTTCAGAAAACCCAGGAATTGTGGGAGCCTGGGACAGGGGTCATCACTCATCTTGGGAGATCAGGGAGAGCTTCCTGGAGGAGGGGATGTCTGAGCTAAGATTTTAAGGCTGAGCCCAGACAGAGTGGAGGGCAGGGCAGAGAGAGGGGACTGGAGGTGGGTGGCAGGGTCAGTCCCTTGTGAGCCTTGGGGAGGACTCAGGACTTTATCCTCAGTGCACTGGGCACCATGGTTGGGTCCTGACCAGTGGATGAGAGTTCAGATTTGTGTCTGTGAACATCCCTGCATCTGTGAGCTGTGAGGAAGGTGGAGAGGCGGGTTGAGCCTGGAGTAGCAGACCAGAGAAGATCCTGCCATAGCAGAAATCCTTGTGCAATTGCTGGAGTCCCAAATGTCCTCTTTCCCATGGGGCAGGGGGACAGCAGCTCCCCTTCCAGCCCCACGTCTCCCTTGTGTTCTGGTTTCCCTTCTCTTGCAGCTGCACAGTAGAGCGGTGTTTCACAGACTGTGGATTGCACCATTTTAGCAGGTTATAGAGTCAATTGAGTTGGTCATAAACTATGTTATTTTTTTAATTGAAAAATATAGATTAGGAAATGGATTAGTGTATGCTGTGCAGAATCTTGTCAAAGGTTGCTTATGGAAACTTCCCTTCCAGAATGTTGGAAGCCACGTAATGATGTACTACTTGTCTATTGCTCAGTAAACTCATGAATGGGGGTGCTCCAGGGAAGGGCTGGTCCCCTCTTTGCTGACTGCCACAGACTTAGCTGCCTCATCATGCTTTCCAGTTCAGGGATCATCTCTCATGACCTTGATTCTGTTCATTTTCTGGGATAGCTCCAGGTAGGCAAGGACACAGGCCTGGTTGCCTCTGCCAAAATCTGTGGGGCAGTAGATGCCTGGACACCAGCCAAGATGAGGGAGAAAGCACATTCCCCAGGGCAGGGTAGCAGCCACGTCTCTCAAGGGAACTGAGTGAGCAAAGGGCAGGCAGGTAGAGGAAGATCAGGACAGGGTAGGGGGGTCTGTGCTGATGGGAGGGCAGTGGCTGCTCCTGAGATGTGTGGACACAGAGCCACTAACTCACTGGGTCCTGACCAGTGGAGGGTCCAGCCACTGACAGACACTGTGGGACCCCACTGTCTGAGGACAGCTCTGTCTTCTGTGTGAGATCCTGGATCGTGAGGTAGGACCCGGCCTGTTCTGGTTGAAGCCGTCATTAGGTGTTGAGACTCTGCTTCTCCTGATGGCTAAAGACAGTTCTGGCTCTCTTGGCAGTCAGTGTAAGTTCCCCAACAGCCATTTGTTTTATTCTCTGGATCCAAGCAAGACATTGACCCAAGGTCCTCCTGCGGGTCAGTGACACAGGCTGGAACAGAGCCCAGGACTCCTGAATCCCAGTCCGGGGCCTCCAACCCCCTGCCCAGCCCCTCCAGGAAGGGCAGGCAGGCTGTGCTCTCAGACTCCCCTGCACAAGACCCAGGTCGACGTTCCCACGGCTCCTGGTTGGGGCTGGCAGAGCTGGGCTCCTGGATGGGAAACCCCAGAGCTGGCATTTCCTGCTCTTACCAGATTCCCCACTGGCTTCTCCTTTTCCCCAGGAATAAATTGGCTGAATATCCCTCCTGTCAGTATCTGGATGTTACTTCCATCTGGCCTCAGGGAGCCCCTCCAGGGGACAGGCAAGAATGCAGTGGACTTTCAGGTGTACAGAGAGAATGTCAGGTATGCAGGAGGAGGGGCTGGGGCTTCCAGAGCCAGAAGGTCCTCCTCTGCTGGCTGAGGAGGATGATGTGTCACCCTTCTGCTCCAATCACATTATCAAGATTTCAGGAACTGATCCCTACTCCCTGCAAAGGGACTTCTGGTGACCAAAGAATGGATGGTCTGGCCTGATATCAGCTCTGATTGGATTCTTCAAGTAAAACAGTGACTTTGTTACCCGGCCCACCAACCCATGAGCCGGTAACCGCAGCCCTGCTCAGAACACGCCTGAAATGTTCTCTTTAGCTTACAGGAAACCACAATGAGAGGAAGGAGGAGGAGGCTGAGACACATAGTAGAAACCAGGTAACACCCGTTGAAGGCAGCATGGCAGCTGCCTTGACCTAACATAGACCCCGCAGCTCATTATATGCTCATTGTAATGCATTACCACGCTACACCACACACCCACCAGCGCCATGACAGTTTAGAGTTGCCATGGCAATGGCAGGATAGGACCAAATAAGGAAAGAAAAGAGATGGCACCCTTGATCCCCAGAAAAGCCTGCCCATTTCTCTGAAAACTATGAATTTTCCTCCCCTTCATAACCTGGACCCCTTATAACAGCTGCTTATGTGTCCCAAGAGCTGAGAAGTTGATTTGTGAACCTAGTTCCCACTTCTCCATTCTCTGGCTATGGAATGAAAGCTTGTGCTGTTGACCACTCAGCTTCCATTTCATTTCAAATCCACGACTCGGAACAAAAGAGAACCCACCAGGGAAGGGACGGATTGTGGGTATGAGGCCCACCTGTGGGTTCCTTCTCAGAGCTCCTCTGCATGTGGGTTGGAGTCCCACCGGAGTGAGGTCAATTTGGCAACAAGTTAAGAGCCTACTGGTCAGAGGAGGGGCTGGAGGAGCAGGCTCTAGGCTTGGCCTCCAGGGATGATGCCCAGACCAGCACTGCTGTGTGACTCAGGGATCTGAACATCACTGCTGCAGCCCCAGCAGCCTCTTGGCACCTCGAAGCTATTGCCTCGACATGTTGTTGCTGCTGGGGAAACACCTGGTGACTCCATGGCTGTGCTGCTCAGAGCTTCAGATGCATCTAGAACCCCAGCTGCAAGGTCTTCTGGCAAAGGCCGTCTGAAGCGGCCCAGCCTCTGAGGACAAGAAGACCCTGAGTGGGTGGGATGGATGCCAAGTGTCCAGTATACCCTTCATCACCCTCCCATCATGCTCAACTTATTGCAACTCTTTATTACAACCCAAAATGTCTCTCATGGCTCAACACTCATGTCCCCAGCTGCAGGCCCCACACTCCACTCACTTTCTGCACCTCAACTTCAGGGTCTGTGGTCCCCCCACATCCACATGTTCCAGGGTTCGTGCATGACAGTTCTTGTCTGACTCTCTCCCCACTCTCTTCACATGCATTCTATTCACTCTCCAGCTTTCAGTGTAAATGTCACCCTCCCCAAAATGTCTCTGGACCCTGAGGCTGAGGTCAGTCTCCCCATTACATCCAGACAGCACCTTGGACATCTTCTGCTGAGCACTTACCACAGTTCTTTGGGGCTTTGCTG